GCCCCCCCCCCCCACCGCAAGATGCTGCCCCGTACATTCCTCCCCCGCCCCACCTCTGGCGGAAGGTGAAGCCAGAGGAGGTGATTAACAGTCCTAATTAACTCTCGGACTGCCCTGCCCACTCCCAGAGCCACTCACCACATGCGGCCACCGAGCCTGTAACGCGGCCAGATCCCATGCGCACGGGCTGAGTGTCAACGACACCCCGCTTTCGAAGGGTTAGCATGGAAAGCGGAATGCAACCCAGCTCATTAATAAACGGTTATTGATTATATGTTGACACTGCAATGTTTTGGATGCACGGAGTCAGAAGTACTGTTTTCACTGGCTTCTTTTTACACTTCTTAACGTGGATGCTGGAGCATTTCAAGTTAGGCAGGAGGCTCACACCATGTTTCTGGCGGACAGTGCCGCACGAGGACATCTCCCTGTGAGCGCTGATGGCCTTTTACCCACACTTAACCCCGAGGAGTACCTCCAGCGGGGGCTGTGGAGGATCTTTATATTGGGGAGCTTGCCTCCTCCTGGGGCTCCCGATGGCTCATCCTGGCCTCTGGCAAAGCCGCGGTACGCGCAAAGAAAAGGACTCCTGGTGACCAGCCAAGCCGCTCACCAGGGCGTTGGTGCCCACCAGACAGCCCTGCCAGACCCTGCTGCCCAGACAAGGGCCCTTCCGTTTCCACAGGCGCCTGCCTCAACGTCGGGCACTGGCTCTCGGTTGGTCCCTCTGGACCAACGTTTGTTGACGGAGAAGCAACAGCTCAGACCTGATGGGCTCCTCCCAGGGTCTCACATTCTGGGGGAGAGGGTCCTGGGGCAGCTCCTTCCTTCCTTCCCTCCCTCCCAAGTTCCCAGAGCACAGGCCTGTTCAAAGGGGCTGTGGGCAGCCCCTTTCCCTGCCCACAGAGACGAGACTCCCCCTGAAGAGGGTCAGTGCCAGGCTCTGAACCCCAAACCATCCCGCTCTCTTTTCCCTGAGTGCAGAGCAAACGTTGCAGGTGATAAACTAAAGAGCGAAAGGAGAACCAGGTGGAGGGTACGGAGTCCACGTGCAGTCAGTCCCTGCTCTGCCACTTCGCAGCTGAGGGTCCCTGCACAGGTGCCCCCACCTCTGCAGGCTCTGTTGTAGAACAAAGGTACCCGGGGGTCAGCAGGTGGTCAATGGTACAGAGTTTGGAAAACTCAGGCCTTTGGGTTCTCCAACGTGAGTTCAAATTCCTGCTGTGCCTCCAGCTGACTTGTGTGACCTTAGGCACGTTCATTAACTCGGAGCTTGTCTCCTCATCCATATAATGGGTATAATAATCCCCAGCTCACAAGTGCCTGAGAAGATTAAATAAGGGGGTGAGTATCCATTAGGTTGTCCTATAGCCCAGGATGGGCTAGACTCAGGTGGTTAAGAGAAAAGTTACCTGGGGTCAGACGGACCTGGGTACAATCTGAAATCCAACTCTACCCAATTAATTGCCGTGCAATCTTGAGCAAGTGACTTAACCTCTCTGAATTCATTTCCTCCTCCGTAAAATGAGAAGAAAACCCAGCATGAAGGGATGAGCCTTCTATAATATGTGCCTGTTTTACATTCTTATGACACCCTAAACTTGGCCTTCAGGACACTTATCACAGTTGGTAATGATACCTTTACATGCTTATTTCAGACTGCCCAGTAGCCTGGGAACGCACCCCACCCACCCCAGGACACTGTGGAAACATACCTGGTTTTGCTCACCACTGTAGCCCCAGAGTCTAGCACAATGCCTGGAGCATAGTAGGTGCTCAACAAATATTCACACAACGAGCGGAGTATACAGCTCAGCAAAATAGCCACAAGGCAGACCTGGACACATAACGAGCGACAGCTACGACAAATCTTCCTCCACTTATGACGGGGTTATGTCCCAACAAATCCATCGGAAGTTGAAAAGATCGTTAGGTCAAAAATGCATTTACCCCACCTAACCTACCGAACATCTTGGGCTTAGCCTAGCCCGCCTTAAACGTGAACACCTGCTTTCGCCTACAGTTGGGCAAAATCATCTACACAAAGCCTACTGTAGAATAGCGTTGACGAGCTCATGTAATTTACTGAATACCGCACCAAAAGGGAAAAAACAGGCACAGAATCGTTAGAAGTGTATCTGGTGGCTACCTGGGAGCTGCCACTGGCCAGCATCACGACTCTGCATCATAGCGTATAATCGCCAGCCTGGGAAAAGATCAAAATTCAAAGTATCGTTTCTACTGAATGCGTATGGCTTTCTGACCCTCATAAAGTTGAAAACTCCTAAGCTGAGCCATCATCAGTCAGACCATCTATGTTATCATCATCGGGTAGAAGCTGCCTACACATCACCCAGCCTCCAGCTAGCCTCAGCTGCCTCCCCCTCACATCTAAGCTCCTACAGGCTAGCGAACTAAATCCCCCCGGCACCAAAGCAAACCCCTTTCCTTTGCTCTTACCTTGGGACAGGTAAGAAACACTTTCCACCCCTTTTGGATCTAAAGACCCTATTGGGGGAAGCCTGGGCGGGTCAGTCGATTGAGCGTCAGACTCTTGATTTTGGCTCAGGTCATGGTCCCAGAGTTGTGGGATTGGGCCCTGCATCGGATTCCTCGCCGAGTGTCGAACCTGCTTGAGATTCTCTCTCTCTCTCCCTCTCTCTCCCCTGCTCGCACTCTCCGAAATAAAAAACAAATAAATAAAGACCCTATTGGGAGTCTTAAGTCTCTTCTTTTCCAGACTTAAAACCCCTTCGATTTGTTTACCCCTTCTTCAAAAAGCACGCGCCACGTTTCCATTACACACGTGGTTTCTCAGGAGACTTGAAGGTCAGCAGCTACACCTGCCCCTCTCCCCAGAGGTCTAAAAGCCAAAGGACCCTCGGCTCCCGCGAGCTATGAGTTGCTGGGCTCCCCCAGGTCCCGGTCAGAGGTCACAGGTCCACAGTACGTACACTCCCGTCGGCCTCCCACCCAGGAAGTGCTCCTGTGAACCCGGTCTCCACCCCCTCTTGCCCAGCCTGACTCGTATTTTATACATGGAGAAACCGAGGCCCAGCTCACGTGGCTTGTTTCGGCAGTACCGCTTCTGGGCTAGAGGCAGGGTGTAGGGACACGGAACCAGCTGGGATACAGATCAGCACCCCTGCTCTCCCCACCCTTCCCTTCTAGGGCATCCACTCCCCAGGCCCCCTGCAGCCTTCCTCCTGGGCCTTCTCTCACCTGAGTATCTGTAAGAGGTCAAGGCCTCTGGGGGAGAGGGCTCAGGCCATCCTCACCCCTGATGGGCCAGAGCCTTGAGTCTGTGAGCCGGCGGCAGAGAGGCCCCAGGCCAGAGCCCAGCGCCCTGCAGGAGGCATAGAGAGACGCCTGCACTCCAGAGGGCCAGCCGCTCAGAACAAGGCTCTTATAGGACAAAGCTGACTGCAGGTGCCGGTCCTCTCTCTTTTCTCCTCCCCACAACCAACCCTCTCTTGGGCCCTCCAACCCCCACCCACGGGCGCACGCGCACGAGCCCCTTTCTACCCAAAACAAATCACCAGCCGCTTCCTCTCCTGGATCAGCCAACGACTGGCCCAGCTGGATTGGAATCAAAGAAGTTTGCACCCTCAGCCCTTCCTCCCTCTACAACGACAGCCCCCTCCCCGCAAAAAATATCTAGATGCAGATAAAGATAGAGATCCAGTCATCGGAGCATGACGGGTGACTCAGACCCAGGGGTACAGGAAGACGGCCTGAGCAGACAGGCAGACCCCCCAAGGAGAGCCATGACTACACTTCCCCAGCGGGCACACGCCAATCCTGCAGGCCCCCCACTCCAAGCTCAATGAGCCCACTCCAAGGGGCACCGCCAGGGAGAGATCCACTCGGCAGGGGTGGGGCAGGGCCTGAGTCCCAGGGGAATGTCACTTCCTCTCAAAGCCCCAGAGAGCTGAGAGCCTCAGGCAGCCCTAAACAATAGCCCGAGGCGTGGGTGCCCAGAACGGTGCCCCGGTGCCACATCCTGCCATTCTTCTCCCAGGCCGCACCCTGCCACCCTTCCTGGCTACGCCCGATCCTATCTCTGATGTTTACTCAGAGCTGGGAGCTGGGCTGGCTACAAGGGTGGGGAAAAGCTTTCCTGAGAGGGCCCCCTCACCGTCTCCAGCCTCTGCGGGCCCCAGGGGTACCGGGTCCAGGGCGTGCGCCGCTCTCTGGTCTAGCACAGCTCAGGAGAGGGTCACAGACAATACCCCCAGTCCCTGGGCTGTTCTGGGCAGGCCAAAGTGGTATTCACCTGACAGAGCAGCCGATACCAACCGATGGAAACTTCTGAGTTCCCGAGCTCCTGTCCTCCAGCCTATGAGAGCCGGCAGGCTCCCCCAGAAGCCCAGATCCAGCCTGAGTTTCATGACTGCCGGTTTGAGTTGAACCCGGGGCACAGAGGACTGAAGGAGCCAGGGAGAGACCATAGCGGTGATGGTCCCATCCATGGCTCCATCTGGTTGTCCTAGGTCTCTGAGGCACCTGAGTCTTTTTCCAGCCCAGGATGAGAGTCCAGGAAAAGACAGGAGGGGGCAGGGGGGCAGCTTGGAAGTTCTGGTGAGGTTCCAGTGGGATGCATGCCTGGGTAAAACTGAGAAGTAAACAGTGTTTCCTGGAGTCCCTTCTCTGGGGGCCCTCCTGCCTTTGTGACTGGATCTGTCTCCAGCCCACCGAAAAGTGCTAGGGGGCCCCTGCAGTCCTGCTCTTGTCTCCCGGCGACCAGGTCTAGGCCTATGTCCCAGACAGGGGAATGTGTCTGGTCTTCTGCACCAGCCATGCCCAGCCCAGGGCTGGCACACCGCAGAAATGGTGCAGCCGGGGCTGACTGGCTTGGCAAAGGCCTCCCTTTGGGGATAGCCCCGAACATTAACCAAAGGAAGGAGAGGCTAAAGAGCATTCAAGGGCACAGCACTCACTCCAGCTGCAGGCACTGAGTGAGGAGCTCACCGCGCATTTCCCTGTCCTCCCCAAGGCCCGGCAGAGCAGGTGTCTGAACGCAGGCCTCAGTGATGCCCAAAGCGACATCTTTTCCTATCGGCCAACACGCCGTCGCTCTCCCTCTACCCCAGATAACAGAATCCGGTCCAGCACAGACAGACTGGCCACTGTCTTCAACGCTCAGAGGATTCTAGTTGTTTTTGACTTGAGTCACGGCCAAGGAAGAATTAGTCAAAAGAAATCAAGGCTGCTTTGAGAATCTGGAGAAAAGACTCGACCTCTCAAGACCTGAGTTTCTTCATGTGAAAGTGGAGATCCCAATACCTACTTTGTGATTAGAAGGCAGCATATACTCAGAGAACCTGGCACAGAACATATGTTCAGCGGGAGGAGGAAGAGACCTAAAGCAAGGAGTGTCTGTCCCCCCCCCCTCCTTGGCTTCCCTCCCCAGCATGCCTGGCAGGTCCCCAGGCTCCCCTGTCCCCACCTCTCCGGGAGGCAGGAGTACAGGGGTGACCCTCCAGCACTGCTGGGAAGTGTCCTGACACAGAAAAAAGAAAATGATCTTTGGGGAGCCTGGGTGGCTTAGTCCGTTAAGCATCCGACTCTTGATTTCAGCTCAGGTCGTGGCTCATGAGTTCATCTAATGGTTCATGAGTTCGAGCCCCACATCAGGCTCTGCACTGATAGAGGGCAGCCTACTTGGGATTCTCTCTCTCTCTCTCTGCCCCTCCCCTGCTTGTTCTTTCTCTTTCTCTCTCTCTCTCAAAATAAATAAACATTAAACAACAAAAAACCAAAAACAAAAGAAAGAAAGAAAAGAAAATGGTCTTTTTTGCCAACCAGACCTGTGTCTGAAGCCTGGCCCCTCCTCATACTGCTAGCTGTGTGACCACAGGAAGTTTCTGTTTCTCCATCTCTAAACTGGAACGAATAATAACTATCTCATAGAATTATTCAGGGGACCCCATGCGATGTTTGCAAAAAAGCAAGAAAAACCAACCAAGCAAAAAAAAAAAAAAACCCAAGTTTGCACCCTGAGCGCCCCCATCACTCTTTGGGGAAGGCTTCCCCACCCCCGCGTGGTCAGACAGAAGACCCACAGGGCAATGGGGCACGTCACCCTCTTCCTTCTCTATCTGCTCCCAGCAGGCCTCCCTCCCTTTGGCCCTGTCTCCGCACCCCGCTCGGGCGGTCTGAATGTTCCGGCGGTGTCCCCAGCTACCCCGGAATCTCCCCTGGCCTGAGTCAGGCACCCAGGCGCCACAGAGTGAGGACAGGCCGAAAGAACCCGGATTTGCCAAGGAAACCCCACGTAGTCGGGGCCACTGCTTATCTGGCCACGCCACTGCACCTTCCCTTCCCCGGCTGATGACACAAAAGCTCTGCGGCACTCAGGAGCTCCCGCCTTTCCTCCGGAGCCCACGCAGATCAAGTGTTGTTCTGTTAACCCCTGCAGTCCCCTGCCACCCCCAGGAGGGGACAGGGGCGAGTAGGAACAGCCCGAAATACCCACGGTTACCCACCAGGCTGGGCGAAGCGTCGGCTTGGTCAGCAATTCCTCCCAGCGGTGCCAGGGTGGGCTGGGTAGCCCTTGGCTCTTGCTTTTGGCGTCAAGTCTAAGCCACGTGGGCCAGCGCGCAGTTGGTTCAAACCCCGCGCGCCCCTCCCTAGGGGCATGGGTAGGCCAAGCATTCAACTCTCCTGGGACTAGTGACCAACAGCCGGTGGGTGGCGTCGAGGCCTTCCAGGACAGGCCCGGCACCTGCACACAGCTGTGCTGAACCCCCGCAACGGGCATCCACATCAGAATCTGAAGTTGGGGG